CAGTAAAACATCATAAATATTTTATTGTTAGCAGTCGAAATTTTTCAACTAGCAAAAAAGTCCAAGTTATTAACTGACTTCAGGTCTGATTTAGATCATGTTAATTTATATATTATATATTTTTGTTCACATCTAGCTGTTTTAGAATGAAATTAGCAGAACAATTATCACAGATGCTAACAGTGGACGGGATAAGTCTGTTCTGATCTGTGCTTTTATTTTGAAGGGAGAAATTTCGCTCGCTGTTTACATACGGGTAACTTTACGACACGTCTTCCCACCCACCCTGTCCCTGCCGCTGTTACCACAGCAACAACCTCTCAGGTTCGTGATCATTGGAGGCAGCAACAGATGCGGAGCGGAACCGTTCAGAACCGAGCCGGGGGGGGGTTCGGTTTCTAACGCGGGAAACGTGACACCGGCGCTGCCGCTGCGTCTCAATGATTCACGGAGGAGCTGCACACCTGACACAGGTGTCTGCAATCGATCCCTGCTGGGGAGTTGAACTCCGCTGCTGCCTTGCGCAAAAGCGTTTTCTTATTTGCACATATTTAATAAGGAATCATATTCAGTTCACTCTTGTTTTGTAGCTGATTATGTAACAATAAAAGCTGTTTGTAGCTGTAAATGTCACGGATGAACTTGATGTTTCCAAAAGTCACCAGTAGATGGCGCTAAAGATTTTTATTTTATACTCGTTTCTACTGCAGTGTTATGGGATAATACCGGATTCTCTGTAAAGGACTCACAAACACACAAGTGTAGTGTATAATATAAATATATAATATGTATATAAGTGAATGTGGAGCAGAATTCAATCAGATCTTCATCATCTTCTTCTTGTTTTCAACAACTCACCAGCACTAAAGCGAAAGTTCCCACTGCGCATGCGCGTCACGCTCTGTTGTGGTCACGTGACGCTCGGGCCCCTCCCCTCCGGATGTGAGTTGTTGCTCGTTGTTGCTAGAAGTTGTTATGATGAAACGCGAGGAAACGTTTACAGCTGACGTGTGTTCAGGACGTTTAAAAGTTAAACTCCAGTCTGTTTGTCGCTGTTGAGTTGGTTTAAACGCATCCCGACATTTTACCGGTTCAAACTAACTTTTACCTTAGCGTTAGCATTAGCATTAGCATTAGCCAAACGGACGAGTGAAGGCTTCCAGCCCACAGAGCTGACCGTAAGTTTCCTCTTTATATTTTATGGTTTTCTTTATTTTTTTTCATGTAGCTGTAAAGATAGCATGGACAACACTGCGTTTATTTAAATATATACCTACAATTAATTACTTTAATTTGAATAAAGTACTTAAAGTTGATAAGTTTTTTTGTGAACTGAATTATAATACATTTAAAAAACATAAAAAGCTCACTCTCCTGCTTATTTTACTATAATTGTCCAGTGTTTGATAAAATACCAGAGAACATTGTATAAAGTACCTCAAATTGATGCTTGAGTACAAGTACAAGTATCTTATCATAAAAATACTTGTTAAAGTCTTCAATACGTGTGTTCAGGACGTTTAAAAGTTAAACTCCAGTCTGTTTGTCGCTGTTGAGT